AGTTTGCTCTTTGTGAGTTATGATATTGTATGCTTTTTATATATTCTAAGAATACTTTTGAAAATTCCAAATCAAGATTGTCTGTTTGAATTACATATTTGCGGTGATTCTGGTTTGGTGAGCTGAATTCTATGGTGTAGATTCCGTATTGTTGTGTTAAGTTACATATATCTTTCAGATAGTGATCAATAATCTGTCTTTTTATTTTTACATCTGGGAACTCTGCTTTACATGGGCTGATTCCGGGTTCAAACAATATTAGAAGAAAATTCTTGCAAAGATCATGTTGTCCTCTATTATCGGGTGCATCTACGAGGAAGGGGTAAATATCGTCATCATCTGGACTATCTTCACTTGGAGTGTGTGTTTGGCTCATTTTTTCGTTTAATGACTGTTATTAGGTAATTATCGATGTGTCTAATTGGTTGATTCCAATTATACAAGTGTACTGGTTTGTGTTTATATTGCTTTTTTATTCTTCTTTTTCCTCTTTTTGATGATTGTGATGTTGTTTCTGAGTCGGAAAAATATAATTGATCGTGAATGGGGCAATTTTTATCAATGGATTCTTTTAATTTATAAAGTTCGTCTAAATTGCTGGCTTCTGATTCTGAGAAAGCGTTTCTTTTTTTGGAAAATCTTTTTCGTGTTATTTGTCTTTGTTTGGTTATTATTTTCCTTTTTAGTGTTTGTCGTTTTGTTCTGATATATCCAACTGTTTGTGTGTGAGGTATGATTACAGGGTCGTATTTTTTGTTATCTATTTCACAGTTGTGCAAAACGATTGTTTGTTTGTTTCCTAGATTTTTAAATGACATAAGGTTTAGGATGACGGATGCAAAAAGTTGTTAGATGATTTCTATTTTCTTAACCTGTTAGTCCTTACGATTTTTTGGTTAGCTTAACCTGGGTCTATTTGTTCAGGGTTGGAGAGAAAGGTATATCGATTCCGAAGAATGATTTTTACTTCTTCGTGGCTAATATAAGCTAAGGTGTTAACTTACTTAATCTTACGTAGGGGTAGTGATTGTGTTCAAGGGTTGGAGAATAGTAAATCGATCCACAAGGTTCAGGTATAATTAGAACGCGAGTAGTTCGTTAGATACTATTTTAAACTTACTAAGTCTAAGATTTATCCTGGGTCTGGTAAGAGGAGGGTTCAAGTGAAGGATGAATAACCGAAATTCTTCACTGTTTATCCTAATTTGAATGATTAGTTTTGTTGAAAAATTTCTATTAGTCTTGGGTTTTTTGAAAGGGTTGGATAGTGAATCGACGTTTGAGGTCGTTAGACACTAGTTAATTGGGGGGGGGGGGGGAGAACAAAATTGTTCTTTTTGATCCAAGGATAGGCCTTGATGATCAAGTTTTAAATTTAATGAAATAGAAAAATTTAATGTAGATCCAAGGATAAGCCTTGATCTGATTTTAAAATTAAGTGAATTTAAGTTTAAAATGGTTTAAATTGTTCAAAATTTTAGTTTTTGATGTTTAGTGAGCTTATGATTGCTGTTATGTTTAGGTGATGAAGCTGGGACTACAGATGATTTTTATGATTACTAACAATTTATTGTCATGCTACTAATTTTTGTTTTGTTTTTCAATAAATATTTTCCAAACATGTTTTATAAAATACTGCAGAATTTAGGAGAACGATCTGAGATCTTTTTATCAATCGTTATTGTATATTAATAATTTTGTTTAGCGCCTGAAATGATCATGAAGATTGACTTCAAGATTTTATGTTTGCAAATGAAAATCTAAATTCATTGCTAATAAGATTCTAAATATAAAAGTTTGTGTTGGCTTTTGCCGTACTATCATATAACTATTTGGTAAGTTTCTACTTTGTCATATGTCGTCTCTGGTTCGAGGTCTTCTTCCAATTCCGGTTAGTTCTATTATCGTTCGGAATATTGGCTCTGATCTATTCAGTCGTAGAGACATTTCGATTAAATTATCGTCGTATAACATTTTGAAAATGTTTTGTCTAATTTCTAATCTAATTTTGGTTTATTCTAAGCTATTAAGGTCTTGTTCGAGACTTATGGTCGCACCAGATGAGTTAAGTCCGATGTGGTTAACTCATAGAGTAATTTCGGATAGGGTACACCGTCTGCTCGTCACGCTATCTTATTTTCGGCCGGATAGATTCGTGCAACTTCTTAGTCTAATACCGATCCTAATCTTACCCTTATACTATCTAGTCTCAGGTTGCTTAACTAGTCTCTGCTAGGCTCAATAGATCTAGGGTATACTGGTTTATTGCGGCTGCTGAAGTTCTCTTGGAGAGGCAACTAATTTCTAAGTTAAATTCAAATCTCTCTGGTGCTGAAATTACAAGTAATTTCAGCACTTACAAATAAGTGGGTTGTTAGTTAGATGGATCATGATTGGTTAATATTAAATACTTTACAGTGGTAAAATATCTAATTTATCCAATCATAAAATGTAGTTTAGATCAGGTTCCAGTATACCAACTGGTATTCACTAATTCACTTTGTTTTTGAACTGACAGACTACTCCGAAAGGTTGATAATAAGAAGACTATTATTGCTCGCATTACTCTTCTTCTGTCAATTTTGGAAATGATGTTATTAGCAGTAGTGACCAAAGGAATTGATATTTTGGAAACTTGATTGTTTCTGCTTTTTCCAACTAAGCGCAAATCGAACCATTTGTAGCCTGAGATTCTAATTTTTTGATACAAAATTTAGGTTTCATAGCTTGAATGAAGCACAAATACTCGATAAACTAATGGGGGTAGGGCAGTCAAAGCGCGCTCAGGTATGCCCTGACAACAGGTCAAACTCAGTTTTTTCAAGTTGAATCTGTAATGCATAAGCAGCATGATGAATCTACCTCGTTCGAAATCCTTCTGAATCATGGAAGCTACATTCTTTTACTCTTTGCTCCCCTTCTTTCACCGCTTCTTTCGCCTAAATTAATTTTCGCCTAAAATAGCCGCCCCCGTAAATCACGTATCAAAACGAAATCGCGGTTTCTCAACGATTGAAAATAAACAAGTTGATATTGTGCTTGCGTGCGTTTTTAAGCGTTAAAAACAGTTTACTGTATTACAGATTGAGTATTATACAAACCGTGTAAGCTTTATATCAACCTACATAAAACAGTTACTGCTGATTCGAACTTACACAGCATGTATCTCCAGTTTGGTTTGTATATTTTGGAGTGTCATACAAAACCGGGAAGGTAGCCAACCGCAATAATAGATGTTTCGATAGTTTTTCGTATAATAAAATAAAAGCCAATTCAGGCTGGGGTCTTTTATTTAATCCTACTTTCTAAATTTAGCGATTTTAAATGATTGGGATCAATTGAGCAATCTCTCCCCTCTCCACCCCGTTGCCATTCTCGCGTAGGGGGAGATAGCTCAACTCGATAGGCACTTGAGACATGTTTTGAACCATTTGAAAATAGTTTGGACGTAATGAAATCGTGAGTCAGATTCTCCAAGGAATCCGTAACACCAAACTTCACAATATCACAACAAAAAAATTACTTCCAGAAATCACTAAAATTGTTGCACACAGGGGCGGATCTTGGATTTTTTTGAGGGGGGGGGCGGATTTTCAAACATTTTACGAAAATTTTGACGACCTTTTTTTTTAGGTCGACCAAATTGATTTTCCGAGCTCTTCTAAAGCACTAAAAGGTCCCTGTTTTTGCCAAATTTTCTGTGCCGCAGGCAAATTTTTGAAAAACAGATCAAAAAAGCCGTTTTTAGGCATTTTTCGAAAAAAATTTGAAAAAAATCGCGTTTTTATGGCGCGCGCTCCCCCTCTAAGTTAGTATATATTGGCGCCAAAGGCGCCTTTAGAAAAGTTTTAGGGTCGGTCGGCAAAAAATGGATTTCTTAAAAAGTATCAAAGGGGCCCTTTGGGTCGGCAGGGGGTCGAATCCCTGAGCAGGGGGGGGGGGGGCGTCCGCCCCCCCCCCCCCCCCTAAATCCGCCCCTGATTGCACATAACGCCGACTTCTGCTTTAAATGGAAAAAAAAACTGCTTTTGCGTACATTAATAAGGTGTTACGGAGAAAAATTTTGGTATCCAAATACAAGGTTATAGCACCAACCATGGTTACTTGTTTTCTTCGAGGCAATAGTTGCCCAAACAAAATTTCGTTAAAAAAATATTTTGTTTGATTGTGCAAATGAAAATGATTGTGCAAAATATATGTAGCCAATAGGAACGTCTAACGATTCTGATTAGTTAAAAGTTTTCTATCATTGGGTCTCTCTACGAGAAAGGTAGAAATGATGCCGCGAACAGGTGCACTGATTGGTTTGATTAATGCAATTGCGATCACTTCAGCCGGTTTTTAACAAAGCCGAATTTTGAGCAGATGTGAAGGTGTTCATTTTTTACCGGAGCTGCTTTTTATTGTCTGCCTTTTTCTGAGTTATTTTCTGGTCTGTTTAAAACTGAAAAAAATGAATAATTAGCCAAACATTCTCTATTTTTTGGCAAATTTGGCTGATATATGAGTCGACTTAAAATTCTGAATTAAACAAATTGAGATCTTGCTGAAATTTGGTTGGCTTCCCTAAGCCAATCAGATTGAAGCAAATTAGTTTTAGTTGAAAGTGTAGAAATATTGATGTTCGGGCGGAATAAGTAAAAAGACCCCAGGCAAGATTAGCGGTCTATAATTAAGAAAAGTTCAAGGGTTCTTCAAATCAGGATTGTTTAGTTGATTTTTTGCAAGTTTTTAAATCTAATTTTTAACTGAATATTATTTTTTGCCGTGAATGAGCCGAAATCTTTTTGTAAGCCATGTACTTTAATACACATTAAGCATTAAGCGTTAGCATGGAAAGACATTCATGTATACAGGTTTGATTATCTCAAATAGTCTTGTTAAATATTTCACAATTACCTTAACTTGAAGAAAAATCAAAAATTCACATTTTCTCTCAATATGGGAATAGACAATTTGGAAAGCTTGGACTATATCGTGAATCAACTCAAAAGACTCACCGGCACCGACTCTTTTCCACCTCCTCGTATCGAGGTTGGCGTCATATCTCCTACTATCCATCTCGCCTGGTATGAATCTGAATAGTCGATTGGTAGAGCATCTATCCACACCAACACCTCTATCATGCCACCTGAAACAGCGGGAATACTTATATTTTGTTTCAATGGGTTAGTCACATGGGTCTAAGATCTCTTAAATTAATTACTTTTCCTTTATTTCAAAAATTCATACCCTTTTTTCAATTCAGTTGTTCTGGCTTGTAAATTTCACTGGCCCTTTCGCAATTTCTACAAATTGTGCATCTTCAACTGAATGGACGTCAATTTACTGCACTTCAGTAATTACCGTGTACTAATTGTTTCAACTATCCATGATGTTTCTGATTGGTATTATTTATCGTCAGGTGGTGGTGTATCCTCTCTTATTCGAGATATCTTGAACGGCATTATTTTATGTAACTCACTAGTGGAATGAACTGTTAGATTGAAGTGCTGCAGCTCGAGACAGAACATTGTGCCTCCCTCTTCCAATCCACTCATCAGAGTCAAGTTCAACTGCTTGAACATGAACTCTGTGTGAGTTTGTTCAAACAGAATGGGCCATCCTCGGGGTTTCAATTTTCCCTCTATGACCAGCTCAACGTGGATTCCATCGAGGTCTGCAGGATCACTTCCACTCCTGCAGAAAATTTCAATCATTCATTTATCACTCGAACTAGATGCGAGAAAAAAAAACATTCAAGTGGGAACACTTCGTTTCGGCCTTTCGGTTTATTCTTTTCAGCCATCCAATTGAATTGAAGTTCAGTCATAAAAATGGAAACAAAACCATCTCCGATCGATATTCTCCTATGTTTTTCCACGTAAGGTTGAAATTTTGATTATGTGGCGAACGGCGTCTCTAATAGACCTTTTTATAAGATTTACAAACGTGAAACTTACTGAATTTTGATATGCTCGAGACATATTGAGTTGTTTTTGAGGTCCTTTGTCATCTCGCAACTAGACAAGTCTAGCGTGGGGGTCTTGTGATTGAACAAACTGTACCCAAACTTACAGTCTGTACCGTTGAATCCTTAAACACGAAAATTTATCACCTTTTTTGTTATGAACACTTAACTAAGATTCTTGTTAAGAATTTATCTGAATTAGGAAGTGTTTTCAGAGGATTTGAATTGTAACCTGGATAGTAACTTCCAGAGGTGTAAAGATATCCAAAGTGATTCCGGTTCTTTTCACATGCTTCTAACTGGTTGTTTGAGTCTCCATAAATTGAAGCAAGGAAACAGCTGAACAAGAAAGCAAATGCCAAAAGCATAGTAGAAGTGATCATTTGGGGTTTAAAATTAAACAACTGGTTCGTGAAGAATGAGGCTAAAAGTTACGACTGGCTGGTGTAACGTAACAACTATTTTTATCTGTCACTCTGGCACACAAACACATGGTTCGAATGATGTTAGGCCATTTAAATTGTTACTGGCCGCACTAATGGAGGACAAGTTCGGCAGCCGCCGTTTAGTTATACCATATACGGATATGCATATACCATATACGGATCAAAAACCAAAAAAAAACTTGTTTGCAAATGAGTGAATGAAGTCGAATACTCGTCAAAAATGATTATGCTTATTCAATTATGGTCATTTGTTTAACAATAAAAGAATACAAACATTCGGTTTAAATAACGTTATAACACCATCAGCTTACATCAGTCAAGTTATAAATAAAGAAAAATTAATTCGGCTCAAAGCAATGGTATCTGCACAAAGGTGGCCGGTTAATGAGCATAATGGTCTAAGAGCAGAATGGGTCTAAGAGCAGAAGAACAAAAAATATATGAGCTTCTGGGTGAAACAAGTTTTAGAATCCTCAATATTACCACTGAAAAGATTATATTACACATTAATTGGAAACGTTAATCAAATTTTTTAAACTTTTTAAAAAATAAACTCGATGAAATTACCCAACTTAAGTATGAACTGTTCATTTTATTTGTAGTATTGACAATTTTAGTGGTTGTTTTAATAGATTGGCTAATAAAAATCAATATTTTCCCGTTATTCTGCACTTAGAACCTTTCTGCTCTTGGACCATTCTACTTATTGCTCCGCCTCCCTGCACATTAATTAATAAAAAACCACTCAAACAATTATTGAGATAATTTAGAACCAAATTAAATTAAGCTAATTTATGTCATCAAGTCAGCGTCTTCATAGTATGCGAACAAGTGAGAATTCTGTGATATAAAAAAAAAATAGAGAACGAGGGCTTGGTTTTGAATTCAATTTCAGCCAAGCGGCAAACACAACCGAACAATTTCAGTTATGTTTTTGGGAAGCAGTGCACTGTCTCAATCCCAAAACGGGAAAGCGCTCAGTGAACAAGTGCCCAAGCTTGTTTTTTGAGTTAGCTGATTGGTTGGGCGAATATTGAGTAGTGAGAAAGACACAGGTGCCTGTTAAGTTGCTTGCCAAATGAAAACTCAATTAACGGAGAGGATATGAATCAAACAAGAACTAACTTTGGTTTAAAAAGTGTTAGGGGGAGGCAAAAGGGAACGAAAAGTGGTGGATACCAAATCTCACTTATTTTTGAATCAGGAACGCTGAAAAACGCTATATTGGTCATAACCTTCCAAATAGCATCCAAAAGCTGTTATTTACATTTGGCTGAGGCGGTTGAGACGAAAAGCGTCTTTGTAGCGTTTTGAGAAAGCTGGTTTTCAATCAATCAGGTGACAGCAGACGCAAAATTAAAACTCTAGCCTTGAGATTTCAGAGTTTCAGAAACTATGAAGGACCGCTGGGTAGGTCGACCAAAATGTTCTTCAGCCTTTCTGAAATCCTGAAATCCCAAGATAAAAAGTTATAATAAGCTCGCGCCTGTTATCGACTGATTGATTTTTAAAATTCCTTTCGTACATTTGTAAATATCCAACCAGAAAGAACAACAGAGTTTAAGTTAGTTGTCCGGCTATATAAAATTCCTTGTAATCATTCATGCCAGATAGGATATTGTTTAAGTGACATTCGAAAACGCTCATCAACCCAAATGCTTGTCGGATCCCAATGCAAAAACATCTTTTTGAAAAGTTTGTGACACTTAGAGTACAGAAAAAATTCTGGACAAGATAGACATAACTGATTTTTTCAAATCAACTGATATGAATCGTAATTTCAAATCAACTGATATGAATAGTAATTTTAGTTAGTTTAAATTGACTATCACATCTTAATTAGATATCTATTATTAGTGTGTCTGTTCGATATAATTGTGGCATTTTTCTAGTTGAAAAAAAAAGATAGTTTGTTTTTCGAACAATTCTTTTAAATCGCAAGATCTTGCCAAATCCAGAAGCGCTCCCCAAAAAGGTTCATATGATTCACGATCTTTTTGTTTGCAAATTAGGATTTTGTAATGCCCAAAATTAGTTTTTGATGATTTTAAAAAGTCGGATTCCAGGAGATCGAAAAAAAATCTTTAAAATATACTGACAATACTTTCAACCGAGGGTGTTTTTGTTCAAACATTATTTTCGTACCGTAATTTTACTCTTTTTTTTCCGCCTCGTATCTTCTCAAGCCACCGATTTTTTTTTCTCTCCATTAAGTTTTTTTTTCTGCGATTTCGTAAGTTTGTACTAATGTTTTTATTTGACCAGTCTTGCTTTCGTTTGTTTTTTTTAGAAAACTGGTTTTCGCCACCAATAGTTTTTTCAAACTGTCAAGGTGGAGTTTTTCTTTGCAATAATTGCCAAATGAAATTGGTGGATTCAGTTGTTTTAATGGGTAGGCAGTCTTTAATTTTTCAATCTTTTTAAATAAGGTATACCAGTGGCATTACAATACTCATTATAATGGTGCACCCTTTTAATTCAAATATGCGGGGGCTCCCTGCTTTTTTGACTGAATCACACTGTAGAACCGTCTACCCAAGAAAACAACTGAATGGAACTATTTCGTTTGGCACTTATAGCGAAAGAAAATCTCCAAATTGACAGTTTGAAAAAAGCGTTGATGGAAGCAATCATTATTCCAAAACCGGAAGGACCTCTAGTTTTAGAAAAGGAACATACGAAGAAAACAAGAGTGATCAGAAAAAAACATGCAATGCAATTTTGCGAGATCGCCGAAACAAGAGAATTACAGAAGAGAAAAGAAAGTTCGGTAGTATGAAAAGATGCGAGGTGGACAAAATAAGAAAGATCTATATTGTGCTTTTCGTTGGGTGCAGAAGGCAAAAAAGTATATTTAGTAACAAGATCGTGAATCAAACGAACAGCTTTGGGGAGTGCTTTAAGATTTGACAAGATCTTACAGTTTAGGAGAACTATCCGAACAAGATTGCATACGCTGACCAGAGTGCTGACCAATTGTTGCTTGCAATGGAGTGCCCAGACGCTTTTCTAAGATGGGCGGGGCGGTTTTAAAAAAACCGAAATTTTTGTCTAGCTTTTTTTAGGTTGACCAATTTGATTTTCTGAGCTCTCCAAAAATACTATAAGGATCTTGTTTAGCAAACATTTTTTGCACCGCAATCAAATTTCAAAAAAATTAGGCCGAAGGCGCCTCGAGAAAAATTTTCAAATTAGTCAGCCAAAATGGATCTCGTGAAATTGTACCAAAGGGGGAGGGTCGTTGGAAAAATTTGTCAACCAGAATTGAGGGGGGAGGAGTTGGGGGTCAATCATCGAGCTCATTATAGTTATTTGCTGATTTTTACTCGTATACTTTGCCTTTTCAATCGGAATAGTTTTAAATGCTCAGTTCGATAAAGTAAAGGAGGTTTCGGTTCTTGAACGACTTTAAACCCTTCAAAGGCTCTCTGAACGGTTTCTTCAAGCCAAGCTGAGTAATGTCAAGAAACAAAACTTCCTCGACAGGAAGTAATAACAGACTTATGCTGGTCTTAACCTCATCCCTTTAAAATTACAAAGTTGAGTCATACTCAGGGGCGGATTTAGGGGGGGGGGGGGGCGGACGCCCCCCTTTAGGGATTCGACCCCCTGCCGACCCAAAGGGTCCCCCCTTTGGTACTGTTTAAGAAATCTATTTTTGCCCGACCGACCCTAAAATTTTTCTAAAGGTGCCTTCGCCGCCAATATATACTAATTTTGAGGGGGGAGAGTCCGCCGAAAAAACGCAATTTTTCGGCGCAAAAAATTTGACCAAAATAAGGACAAAACCGTGCTTTGGGAGAGCTCGAAAAATCAATTGGTCGACCTAAAAAAAAGTCGTCAAAATTTTCTGAAAATCCGCCGCCCTCGAGAAAATCCTAGATCCGCCCCTGGTCATACGTGCTCGAGTTTTTCTAGGTTCAATATCTCCCTGAGACTATGGTACCATTTATTTGTGGCTTTTTACATCCGAAGAATCCAGACATCCAAGGAATCCAAAGAACTTTTAACAATGTGTCACTCAAACAATTCTACAAACAAATTTTTTGACCCCCGGTCGCTACAAAACAAATTTTTTTAGTTTCGTTTCTTTGACGGCTTCTCAAAGTCTTTCACAAAAGCCACTTATAAAGCCATCGATTTTGTCAAAGTTTTATGGTTGAGTTGGAACCCTGATTGGCGACAAGATGATGACAACACTGTTCTGTAAGTTTTATGAAAACACAAGAGTTAATCTTGGGCTCCAAATAAAGCTAAAACAACAAAATTAGTCCAATCCAATAACAAGCACAAAGTTGGAAGTTTTCTATTATTGTTTGAAAGTAAAACATACTCAATTCTCAAAAAGCATTGCTCTATAATTAGATTTGTTGTCATGCTATTGTAACGCTTTCAGAAACCTAAGCAATACACGAACTTTTGTCCGACCATTTCTGGGAAAGATTTTGGTTGTAAGAACGGTCAAAACTTTTTTTTATTTGCATTTTTCCGATAAGTTTTTTTTTCGTGGGTGATTAAAAACTATCAATTGATGAAAAACAAATTTGAAGAAATTGTGAAGTACAGAACAACAGAAACATAATTAACGAACTGAACACAAATATTTTTATCAACTGCTTAAAGCAATGTGCAATGATTCTTAGACTGAAGCATAACCACCAATTCCGTCATCCAAGGTAGTTTGATTTTCATTTGAAAAAGTGGTCACTCTGCTACTAGCCATTTCTGCTAGCCCTCAAACTTCAGCCACTGGTTTGCTTCAATACATCAGGCAACTCCTGCATCAACAAACAGGAATTAGATAGGGGATTACCAATCGTCATCTTGATCGTCCAAATAGGACTATTGTGCTTGCCCTGGTACTATTTTACGACTGCAGTTTTTTCCGAGATTGTTCGAATGATTCGTTCTGAAAACGTCTTTAAATTGCAAAAAATACTATTTTTTTGAAGTTGAGAGGGGTCAAAAACGACAAAAGTTTTTTCATAAGATACTTCTTTTACTAAGAAGACAAATGCCTTCGTATAGCCTCTCTTGTCTGCTTAGTAATTCAACATATTGCTATAAATCTCACCTAAAATTGTCAAACTTGTTGTCAAAATTTATATTAGAAACAATAGTTTAAAGTGAGTATGAATTTATATTATGG